CCTCCAGCCATGGTTGCACACTTACTGAGCACAGAAGATTAGTGCCCTCCAGCCATGGTTGCACACTTACTGAGCACAGAAGATTAGTGCCCTCCAGCCACGGTTGCACACTTACTGAGCACAGAAGATTAGTGCCCTCCAGCCACGGTTGCACACTTACTGAGCACAGAAGATTAGTGACCTCCAGCCACGGTTGCACACTTACTGAGCACAGATTGACACTGGATCTTGTGGGGCAGGGGATAAAGAGCTGCAGATAGAAGGGACCAGAGGCCTCAGCCCCATTCTCCTTCCTGGTTCCTGGTGGCTCTTCCTAGAGCACAGGCGTGAGCTCCAGGCTGCAGTCTCTCTGTGCAGCTGAGAGAGAATGGGCTGGCTAGGCTATGAATAGGTGTCGTGGTTCAGGAGAAATATCCAGGAAAACAGGGTGGTAGAGGGCCACCCACAAACACATGCATATGCCCTAACACACCCCCAAACCTCACATCCACACATCCTAACACAATCATGCTCTCACATGTACACTCAGACACCTTTGCACACATGCCGTCATCACCACCACCTCCATTCATACAGATGGAGAAACACACCACACACAACTCTGGTACCACCACATACGCAAACCAACACATTTATAGATCACACCATACAATACCCCAGCAAATATACACATATATACCTCACACACACCACAGACACATACCATATATACACACATATATATGAGGGTCTTCTGTTTTGTGTTGATTTCATTGGTTAAATAAAGAAACTACCTTGGCTTTTGATAGGGCAGAAAATTAGGTAGGTGGAGTAGACAGAACAGAATTCTGGAAGGAAGAAGGCAGTGGCTCTTCTTTCCGAGACAGAGGTAGGTTAGACTCATGCCGGTAAGCCATAGTCACGTGGTGATATACAGATTATTAGAAATGGGTTAATTAAGATGTGAGAGTTAGCCAAGAAGAGACTAGATATAATGGGCCAGGCAGTGTTTAATGAATACAGTTTCCGTGTAATTATTTTGGGTAAAGCTAGCCAGGAGCCAGGGCGGTGGGAACGCAGCCTGCTGATCCTTTTACTACACATATACACACACCACAGACACATATCACATATACCCACATATACACACACACCACAGATATATACCATATATACACACACCACAGACACATACCACACACACACACACACACACACACACACACTGGTGTGCACAAGAATGAGAAACATCACATCACACCCCAACACTAGGAACAGACTGTACTTTGCATCTAAGAGAAAAGCAGGTTGCTAAGGGGGGTTGGAGAGATGGCTCAGTAGGTAAGAGCACTGCTTGCTTTTCCAAAGGTCCCGAGTTCAATTCCCAGCAACCACATAGTGGCTTACAACCATCTGTAATGAGATTTGGTGCCCTCTTCTGGTGTGCAGGCATACATGCAGACGGAACACTGTATACATAATAAATAAATAAATAAATCTTAAAAATTAAAAGGTCAATCGTTAACCAGAAGAATATCAGAATTCCCTTCTCTAGAGCCTACTGAAGCTCTTTTTGGGTTTGAGATATGTACAGATACGAACCACAGAAATGAATGCTTCCTAGGGCTGAATGTCCTCTTGATAACCTAGTATTGGAAAAGTCAGTGGTTCTGGATTTGAAAGGCTGGGATTCAACTGCAGGTTTTGATACTTAGCAACACTGTGTGACTCCTTTCTTTGGATTTCAGCTTCATCAGTACCATGAGGAATGAATGATCAAATAAATCTAAAAGGTGACTGGGGACGTAGCTCCATGGCACAACGCTTAGACAGTGTGCGCAGGCTCTAGGTTAGTCTCCAACACTGCAAACGAACGAATGAATGGCTCTACATGGCACTTGCACCGCTAATTTTTCCATAGGTTAAATCGATTGCAGAAAATGTGGACAGAGCAAGAACATGTAACTCACCAACTGCAAAGGAAGTCCACGCTGAGATGGCTAGAACAAGGAGGGCAGCTGAGAAGGTCACCTTCATGGTGAGAGAAGGAAGACCTGTGGGAGGAAGTACAGTCACTGGGTGACAGCAACAAGGAAGGCAGGTCTGGCTTTGCTTTCCAGCTTGCAGGGTTTCAGCAGCGGAAGACACCCCTGCCTGAAGCAACCCCAGGGGTAAAGACAGCGCCAGGGAATGTTATCAGCTCTATCCTGGAGGAGAGGGGCTTCTCCATGTCCCCTGGTCCTGCTGTAGAGAACAGCAGCTGTTCTCCGAGGGAGAGAGGCCTTTTGCATCCTAATAAGCAGCTGCAGAATCACCCTTGCTGCAACAGGAACTGCAGCGACATGACTCATAAGTCATTCTACTCGGTAGCGTTAGAGTCACAGAACCAGGACGTCCGGTGTCGTACAGCCCGTGTGTCAGAGAAGCAGACCACCCTGGATGCCCCCCTCACCAACTGCTTGCCAAGAACCCTGCAAAGGACCAAACCACAGAAGCTAAAAAGCAAGGATAGTACTTTTAGAGACTTTCCCTTAGCTATGGACTTTGATGGATTAGACCTTTGTTTTAGTTTTGGCAGGTCATACTCTCTACGTGCTGAGTTTACAGCCTAAACAGTACTTCCATCATGGAGTCAGTTGTGCTAAGATCTCAGGGTCCCCTAAGCCTGGGGCTCTGTTACAGTGGTTTAAATAAGAATGGCCCCAAAGGCTCATATATCTGAATGTTTAGTCATCAGGGATTAGCAATACTTGAGGAGGATTAAGAGGTGTGGCCCTGTTGGAGTAGGTGTTTTTTTTTAATATTTATTTATTTATTTATTATGCATACAATATTCTCTCTGTGTGCATGTCTGCAGGCCAGAAGAGGGCACCAGATCTCTTTACAGATGGTTGTGAGCCACCATGTGGTTGCTGGGAATTGAACTCAGGACCTTTGGAAGAACAGGCAATGCTCTTAACCACTGAGCCATCTCTCCAGCCCCCTGGAGTAGGTGTTTTTGTTTTTGTTTTGAGGACATGTGTCACTGGGGGTGGGCTTTGAGGGTTCAAAAGCCCAAGTCAGGCCCGATGTTGCTCTCTTCCTGCTGCCTGAGGAGCCCAGTGTAGAATTCTCAGCTCCGTCTCCAGTACCATGTGTTGTGGGATGTTTGTTTACACTGTGTGAGGCGTGTTGTTGCAATTGGTTTAATAAAAAGCCAAAGGGCCAATAACTAGGTAGGAGAGGTTAGGTGGGACTTCTGGGCAGAGAGAGGACCTCATAGGGTTAGAATCTAGGGACACACCAGCAAGATGCCGAGCAAGTCAGATGCACAGAATGGAAGAGGTAAAAGCCACCTGGCAGAATGCAGATGAATAGAAGCAGGTTAATTTAAGTCATAAGAGCTAGTTGGAACAACATAAGCTAAAGGCCAAGTTTTCATAATTAATAATAAGTCTCTGTGTCATCATTTGGGGCTGGCAGCAGACAAGAGAGCTCTACTACAACCTTGTCTACCTGTGTTACCCCACACTCCCTGCCGTGATGAAAATAGCCTAAATCTCTGAACTCATAAGCAAGCCTGCGGGGAACCATGGAGCTGGGTTGGCCTAGCGTCCTGAGAGGCATGGGTCACAGGTTTTTCAGGTTAGAGCCTGTGGTTCCTGGGGCAGAATGTGCCTTCCAGGTCCCGAGAGACCAGTGCGCTCCCTCAGGCAGTGAAGCGTTTAGGCCACTTTGTGTTTCTCTGTGTGCTCCCTTGGAAGTCAGGGGAGCATGGAAACGTGATGGGTATTAAACATTAATCTTGTGTACCCTGTGTGACTTGCAAACTTCATAGTATCCTGGCAACTATAACAGTATTGATCCTGGCAATTGCCATTATATTCTGTTTCTGATAAAAGTACAAAAAGTCTGATTGCTCTCAATAAAATTGTCACAGCCTCAGTTGTGCTGTGGCCCCTCCAGCCTGATCTGATTTCATTTCTTGTGGCCAGGGTCAGGTGACCTTGGCCCCGTAAATAAGCGTGGGAGCTTACACAAGTTCCAGTTAAATGCTTCGTCTTATAAGAACTGCCTGATCATAGCATTTCTTCTTATCTATAGGACAGTAATCATGACAGTGTTCTTAGAAATATTTCCGCAAGCTGGCATAACTATAGTTCAGTAGCCCCGTACGATAAATGTCTATAGAACCTCTTTTTAGCCTGGTTTTGTCAGTCTTTCTGGTCACTCACCCTTTTTCATATACCCCAAATCACATCCAAGCCATTACTGCAGCTTTTTGTTTATTGTTGCTTTGAGACAGGGTCTCACTTTGTAGCCCAGGCTAACCTTGAACTCATTTGTATTTCAGGCTGACAATCCCCCTGCCTCAGTATGGGATTACAGGTCTGCATCCAATTTCCGTGTCTTCTTTTGTCAGCTTTCCAGTGCCTCCCCAGCAATTTATCTGAGCAGATTCCTTAAGCCTGCCTCTTTGTGAGCACAGGCTTATATTTTTATGTCTGTGGTTTTAGACACACTTCCTGTAGTGCTTCTGTAAGAGCAACAAAACTCCATTCTCAGCATTATTTTCAGAGGACAGAACAGGTGTCTGGGGGAGTAGCCTACTAGTTTCTCTTTTGGTGTCAGATTGGCTGAAAGGAATGGCGGAGTGGTGTTAGGCAAGAGAAATTCTAAAGGATATTGAAGACCGTTAGTGTTCAGACTGTCGTCTGTCGTCTGATTGTAGCCAGAAGTAGAGCAACTTTTGTTGCGTTGAGAGGCACAAGACGCCTCCTTCCATTCAAACGGACGATCGTATGCCACTCACTAAACACACACACCTTGCTGGGAACCTATGAACGATGAAGTTCTAACGCAAGATGGGGTTTTTAACCTGTGAACAATGAAGTTCTAATGGAGCGTGCGGTTTTTCCCGATCAGTGGCTTCCTTAGGAACAGTGTGCCGCGGACACTGCGTAGCAGTAGGCAGTCACTGCAGCGCATCCGCAGGAACTGCCTTCCAAAACAGCGACAAAAACTGGGTCCCCATCCCTCGGGCCCCGCAGAAGGGAGAAAGGGGGCTGAAATCACATCCACAGTGAGAATTCCCAGGCTGGACTAGAAACAGTAACGTCAACGCCGTGACATACGGAGTAAGGGTAGTGTGATTTCAGCAGACTTCATGGGAGCTAAGGTAAATTTTTATGGGGCCCATTTCTGAGGAAAATTCCTAGTGTTTGCTCTGAAGCCCCACTTGGAGCAGTGAAGAGGAGACCGAAACCTGTTTTCCACCCCTGTTTACTGTAAAGTGAGCAGGTCACGCCAGCCTGGAGGGAAAGAACTGTGGAGAACATGATGACAAGGCTCAGACACAGCTCCAAACATGGGAAGAGACTTCCAGACACACCGCCTATGGCTAAATAAGGAATGTGCCGCTGTGCCCAAGGACGACCTTTTACACATTATCAAATACAACTATATATTATATCTATATTATATATATATATATATCACTGTTTAACAACAAAAGAAAGAAACTGGATTTTTAAACCCAAAATTAATAAGATACCCGAGATGGCTAATAATATTTGTGAAATGAAGAAATAAGTGCAAAGAGGTTTTCAATGAAAACCTAAAGTTGCAGTTGCCTCTGGGGTGTGACCTGTAAGTCAACAGATGGTAAGAAAAGAAAGGGACAGAATCCCAGACACTCACTGCCACACTTAAACTTTGATCATGCATTGCTCTGGTGTTCATAGTTAGTGACCAATGAAATTCCCAAAATGAAACCCAGAGAGCTGGTAGCAAACACTCGCCTGCGCTACAGAGATGGCTAGAGCACACGCTACTCAGTATCCCGTACATCCTGTACACTTCCCAGACAAATGGTCTAGTTGGGTAATTTTAGCCCAGGACTTCCCTGAATAAAAGTGAATAATAAAACAACTCTTTCATTCTAAAAAAGTTGCCAATTGGTAGTTCACGTTACCTGCTGTGGCTCCCGTGGTTGCTCTGAGGCTGGCTGACTGGCTTTTAGGTGATGAGGAAATAGCAAGACTGGCAGGAGGTAGGTGTCGCAGAGGACAGTTCCTGGCATGAAGACAGTGAGCTGTGAAGTTCAAAAGTATAAAGAAGTACAAGCCAGGGGTGTAGTGGTGCGTGCCTTGGTCTCAGCACTTGGGAGACAGAGGTAGGCAGATCTCTGTGAGTTCAAGGCTAGCCTGGTCTATACTGTGAGTTCTAAGACAGACAAGATTACATATTACATATTGAGACTTCATCTTTAAAAAAAAAAAAAGGAAATACAGTTCAAATGACAAATTCCATGCTTCCTAAATCCTGAGTTCACATTTTAGCTTCCTGGGGGTGGAGCGTATTGTTGTCCACTGCCACTTTGAAATGAAACTCCTCTTGCCAAATTTGCTATCATTTTAGGAATAGCCCATACTTATTTTTTTTGTTTGTTTGGTTGTTTTTGAGACAGGGTCTCCTGTGACTGACCTAGAATACTGAAAATAACCTTGAACTCCTGATCTTCCTGCCTGTACCTTTTAAGTACTAAGATTATAGCTATACACTACCACACCACACTGATTGACTGACTAATTGATTGATTGATTTTGAGTTCATTTTAAGCCAGGTAGTGGCGGTGCACATGCCTTTAAACCCATCATTTGAGAGGCAGAGACAGGCGAATCTCTGTGAGTAGAGGCCAGCCTGGTCTCCAGAGCAAAATCTAGGACAACCAAGGCTACACAAGGAAATCCTGTATGGAAAACCAGAAACAAAACAAAAAGATAATTTTATCCTTATGTGTTCATCTGCCAGATATTGTGGATTTCTGTGGCGGCCAGAAGAAGGCATGGGATCCGCTGGAGCCGGAGATACAGGTAGTTGTGAGGAAGGAACTGGGTGCTAGGAACTGAACTTACGTCCTCTGGAAGAGCAGAAAGCACCCCTAACTGGCCCTGGTTTTAGTTTTCTGAGACAAGGTCTCTTTGTAACCCAAGTCTCACTGTGTAGGTAAAATTCTATCCTCCTGCTTCTGCCTCCTTCTCCATGATAGGGATTAAAGGTATGAGTTACCATATCTTGCTCAACAATTACATTCAGATAAGTATACATCATATTAATTATCATCTACACATATGTAATTAGTTATTTGATCCAGAGTCAAAACATATTCACACGGTGACATCTTGTTTGTACAAATAAAGTTTGTCTGAAGATCAGCGGGCAGGGCCAGCCACTAGCTAACCATAGAGGTCTGGAGGTCTCTATGGTTAGCTAGTGGTACAGACAGACAGGAAGTGATATGACTGGATGGAGAGAGGAAGTGATAAGGTGGAAGGAAACAGGAACTCAGTCTCTTTGTCTGGGAAGTTGAGCAGGTAAGGAGGCAGTGGTTTGGCTCCTTTGTCTCTCTGATCTCTCAGCATTTCCCCCTATATCTGACTCCCGTCTTTTATTATTAAGACTTATTAGAACTCATGCTACATATTCATCTTTTGGGGGAGGAGATTTTGAGGGAGGGTCTGGTGCAGCCCCACCTGCCCTGGAGCTTGTATGTTTTCCTTATTGAAGCATTAACAATATTTCTAAAATTGCCTAATAGAATCTTTGTGTATACACATGTGTGGATGTGTGTGGATGCATGTGTGTGGGTAGGTACACACACATGGGCAGGTGTACAAATGGATACCTCAGTGTTATTCCTCAGATACTATCCATCTTGTTTTGAAGATTTATGGTTTTTTATTTTACATATATGAGTGTTTTGCCTGCATGTGTGTATTCACTTAAAGGCAACAGTATACATGGATGTAAAAACAGGGCACTGGGTTTCCTGGAGCTGAGTTACAGCCTGATGTGAGCTGCCATGTGGGTGCTGGGCACCAACCCAGGTCCTCTGCAAGAGTAGCAAGTATTCTTAATCAATGACCAGTCCCTTCACCCACCCTGCCCCACCCACCTCCATCTTGTATTTGGAGACAACGTCTTCACTAGCCTGGAGCTTGCCAGGTAGATTGTCTGGCTGGGCAGCCAGATCCCAGAATCTGCTTTCCCTAGTGTAGGATTTGGGAGCTGGAAAGAGGGCTCAGGTTTGAAGAGCACTCATTGCTCTTGCAGAGGACCTGGATTTAGTTCCCAGCACCCCTATGGTGGCTCACAACCCTTCATAACTCTAGTTCCAGGGCATCCTATGCTCTCCTCTGGCTCTATGAACACCTGGCACACATGTGGTACATACACATACATGTGAACAAATCTCATAAGATAAAAATAGGCTGGCGGTGATGGTGCATGCCTTTAATCCCAGCACTTGGGAGGTAGAAGCAGGAGTATCTTTGTGAGTTCAAGGCCAACCTGGTCTACAGAGGAAGTTCCAGAACTGTCAGGGCAACACAGTGCAACCCTGACTTGAAAAACAAACAAACAAATCATCATCATCTTTTTTTTTTTTAAGTGAGCCCTGGGCTGTCATGATGGCTCAGAGGGTGAAGGTATTTGTAAGCATGGTGACTTGAGTTCAATGTCCAAAATCCACAAAAAGGCAGAAAGAGAGAATCGAATCCTCAAAGTTGTCATTTGGCCTCCCACCCCCAAAAACACATACAATCTCTACACACACACACACACACACACACACACACATACACACACACACAACCTAAGTCCAGCAAGATTGGATTACTGGATAAAGACACTTGATACCAAGCCTGACAACCTGAGTTCAATACCTAGGAGAAGTATCTACCATGGTGGAAGAAGAGAACTGAGTCCCAAAGATTGTTCCCTGACCTCCTCAAGTGCACTATGGCACACACATCCAAACCCCTCTTCCAAAATAAATAAATGTAATAATGAAAAAATTTCAAGTTAAATCATTGCATCTTCTCATCAATTTCCATTTTATCTGTGTGCTTAATAGGCCAGTGGTGGCCAAGGAGGAAGCACAGTGCATCCCCGGGGGCTCCAGTTACAGGAAACTTATCCAGTGCTACCTGACCAGTTTTCATGGGCATGAGATAACCAGGAACTTGCTTAACTTAATACAGTGCAAATAAACCCGTAAGAAAGGCGGCACAAAGAGAGTTGGTGGAAATCTTTGTTCTGAAATGGGCATGGCATCATAAATTACAGCAAAGATTTTTAAAAATAAAATTTTATGTGATGTAATAGTATTGCTCAAATTTAATGTTTTGAGGAGGCAAGTTATATTGTTATATAATTACCAAGAATCAGGAAAATTGCTGGAGTTTGATGGCACATCCCTTTAATCCCAGCATTTAGAAGGCAGAGGCAGGCAGATCTTTGAGTTCAATGCCAGCCTGGACTACCAGCCTGGTGCTGCAGGAGAATGCTCTTTTTTTTTTTTTTTTTTTTTTTTTTTTTTTTTTTTTTTTTTNTTTTTGGTTTTTCGAGACAGGGTTTCTCTGTAGCTTTGGTGCCTGTCCCGGAACTAGCTCTTGTAGACCAGGCTGTCCTCGAACTCCCAGAGATCCGCCTGCCTCTGCCTCCTGAGTGCTGGGATTAAAGGCGTGCGCCACCACCGCTCTGTGGGAGAATGCTCTTGTACACTGTAAAGATTTGTTACTCATACTGATTTAATAAAATGCTGATTGGTCAGTAGCAAGGCATGAAGTATAGGTGGAGCAACCAGACTAGGAGAATTCTGGGAAGGCAGAGAGATGCAGACACCAGCCTGATGCAGAGGAAGCAAGAAGAGAATGTCTCACTGAGAAAAGGTACAAAGCCATGTGGTTAAACACAGATAAGAATTATGGATTAATTTAAGTTGTAAGAGCTAGTTAATAACCTGAGCTAAGAGACCAAACAGTTTATAATATAAGCCTCTGTGTGGGACTGAATGGCTGCAGACCTGGTGGGACAGAAACTTCAAGCTACAGCCTGCACTACAGAGTGAGTTCCAGCACAGCCAGGGCTACACAGAAAAACCCTGTCTCAAAAAACAAACAAACAAACAAAAAGTATCAAGAAAATCAGACCTGGAAAACTGCTCCAGTGTTATCTAATCCAAGTCACTCATTTGACGTGAGGCTTAAATAACAGAGGCATTGGGGACCTCCATACTCACAGGTAGCCAGGTTCTAGTCAATCACAGGAAAGAATAGCCATCATCTCTCTTCAGGCTTAAATAACAGAGGCATTGGGGACCTCCATACTCACAGGTAGCCAGGTTCTAGTCAATCACAGGAAAGAATAGCCATCATCTCTCTTCACCATTTGTCTATCATCTATCTCTCGTCGTCAGTTTCATTTGGGAGAGTCACCAAGAACCCGCAGGAAAAATTCTAAATTGACGTCTTAGAAACAGAACCCCGAGAGGCTTTGTTGCTTACTGTGGTGTTGGAATGAGAATGTCCCCCAAAGGGTCAGCTGTTTGAATAATTGGTCCCCAGATAGTGGTGCTTTTTGTGTAGGTTTAGAATGTGTGGTCTTGATGGAGGAAGTATGTCACTGTGGGTATCCTGCGAGATTTCAAAGCCGCATGCCAATCCCAGTTCTTTATTTTCTCTGCCTCCTGCTGATGGCTCCAGACATGAGCCCTTGGGCTTGGTGCCCAGGCTTCCATGACTGCTGTTACCCTTCAATGACATACTTTTGTCCCTCTGGAATCGTAAGCCCAAACAAGCTCCTTCTCTCTACACAGCTTTGGTCATGGTGTCTGTCACAGCGATAGAAACGTATCGGATACAACTACATTGTTCCTACTCTTGGGGATAAGACGCTCCCAATCATTATTCTTAGCCATTGCCACAATTTCCCAGAATCCTACTGAATAAAAAGAAATAGGCTGAGCACCAGCGTTCATCTCTTTCTGCTTCCTGACTGCAGACATCATAGATGCATTGAGCTCCCACTGCCATGACTTCTCTGCTGCGGCATGTTTTGACCGCACTCTGACACTCCTGAGGTTGCCAATAAAGTTCACTTTGAATCAGAGGGCAGAGTTAGCTACTAGCTGACTGAAATTAGCCATAGAGATTTTGGAGCGCCAAGGGTATATAGAGAGACGCAGGAAGTAGTAAGGATAGTTTAGAAAGATTCTTGGCCTTTTTTGGATTGAGGAAGGAGAGAGGGAGGAGGTCACTGGTCACTTCTCCACAGCGTCTCTGATCATTCAGGGTCTCACCCGATAACTGCTCCTGAATTTTTATTGATAGAGTATAATTAGATAAACTGTTCACATCCCCCCTGTGATGGGCTGTGC